CGAGTGACGGATCGGGGAAGAAGATTAACGAGCGACCGTGTGTCGTTCGATTCGATACGTCGAATTAACACGGGACAGGAACGAACCTCTCGGTATATCGGTTATTAATGACTCCGTATTGCCTTTGCCAATGCAAAACTACTCGTTGGAGCGATTCGTGACTTTGGAAAGCTTCGATTAATCGCGGCTGATAAATGCTCGCGATGAATCGCATTATGGTTCGATGAATTGCGGTTAATTATCACAAACGTTAACAGCAGACTCGTAGCGACTTTTAACAAACTTTCATTACATTGCGAAACATAATTCTTCGAACAGGGATCACGGATAAAATCCAGAGAAATTGGAATTTCCCAAATATTCGGAAATTGTTCAACGTCGGCACGTCGGCTTCTATTACCGTAAGGTTAACAGTGCGAGGATTTTAGAGCACGGCTATAAATACCTGTAATAAAGCACAGGATCATTAATCTTCGACGGTAATTTCGGTTTGCAGTGGCGACATTCGCCGTCTCCTTTGCTCTCCATTCCGCTCCCTCGACACCCTGCCATCTCTTTCGTCTCTCCCTTCTCTCCAACCCCCTCCTCTCTCTTACGTACACTTGTGTACCCCCGTACTCGCGTATCCTGCTCGTTCTCGCACTTTCCTAGGATAATTAATGATCCTAAAAGCGATCTACTCACGGTTGTCTCGTTTCGGGGCAATCCTTCTCCGTCTTGCTTGCCACCGCCCTCGAACCAACCTTGCTGCTCATTGCGAACTCTGTTACACGTGGATTAAAACGATCCCTTTTTAACGCGTTTGCTGTTCAAAGTGGAATGTTAAACACTTGAGGTCTCAAGGTTTAAACTAAATATATCCTGATGACACTAAGTCTTACAATTAGATACAAGACAGTGACAGTTATTTCAAAAAATGTGCATAATGATGGATAGGTGAGCGAGCACTTGCGAGAAACCTGTCGCGAGTGTCCATCTAGCGGCAAGTACTTGAAACAGCGCCATAGATACAGCTTCGCAGAAAGCGATGGATCTAAAGAACAATCAGAATTTATTTAACTCTCGTATCTCTGGTTTGAACGTCTTTCAACGTTTTCGAAGGTCTCGATAGTTGTTCAACGCAGAAGGATTATTGTCTGAAGAACTTTAGTTAAAAAAAAAATACAGAAAAGGGAACGTGTAAGAATTAGCATAGACGGTCCAGGTGCCATGTCGTCTTGGGTTTATCTCCGCAGCCGTCGATCTCTAATTACCTGGAAACAGGGAACAGTCAGTATCCCTTCTCTTGGTCCCCCATATAATAAAACCAATATTTTCATGACAATCGGGCGAAAGGAGACGTTCGCCAGGCATTATCTCGCCTTGGCTAATTTCTTCGACGCAAAGTTGCTCGTGCAGCTTCCCGATCCATCGACAAACCTTTTCTCCACTGTTTTTTTTCTCTTTATCTATCCTGTACGCTTCGTCTCTTCTGGCGACCAGTGAATACGGAAGCGACGAAAGCTGGAATTTCCGGTTGATTCGGCACGCTAACGATGGGGTGGTTCAACACCCCATAGGGACCAGGAACGTTTTACGCGACGATCCCCCTATTGTCAACCTTTTGCCATAATCTGCTCGTCGATTTGCACAATAATGGACACGCACCGACGAACAGCAAATTAGCGAACAGAAGCGGTTTGAATCGCTCGCGTCTGAGCTCGTCGACCATTTGCTGGCTACGCGGAGCCGCGAACTTCTTCGTTCGTTCGGCAATGAAATTTTGAACAATCTACTTTCTACTTTATCTTTAGCGAAAAAGTAATCTAGTAAATATTCCATAATTGATCAGAGCCGTGCCAGATTCGCCGGCGAACCAATTCCGCGAACAGAAAACCTTTCCAGCCTGGATATCCGTTCTTGCATCAATATTTAATCGCGGCTAACAAGATGGCGGTGGTATGCACGCTACTCAGATGGGCTATAAATGCGCGAGCAGGCCTCGTAATAGTTTTAACTTAACGTTCTTGGTATATCCTTATGTTAGCGTGGCGAGTGTGCGAGCATTCGTGTCTCGACGACAACGCTTCGACACTAGCGAAGAAAGAGCAGCGAGTGAGGCTCGCGTAAGAAAGAAACAGAGACCTCCTAGAGATTTCCGATGGAGTGGAACGGAGAAAGGAAGAACAAATAGTTGGAATTACGTGGGGCTAGGCGCAGGCCTGAGAATTGTCAATCGAAGGTGCCAAGAAACGAGAGAACGTCCCGAGGCGCGGCTCCTCAAACATCCTTCCTTTGGACGGGGCCGCGAACGTTCCTTGGCCTCGTGTAATTACGACCTGTCGCGTTTCAGGAAATTCACAGGAAATTCGACAAGAATAGATATCATGAATTAATTTACAGAGACTTTTATGTCCGACTCATTATACAGTGGAATATTGTAGGACCATCATTAGCCAATATCACCAGTTCAATATAACAAAACTTTTAATTAATCTTCAATATCACTGGTATTGTATTGATTGCGCAATGCATCAAAAGCAATGATTTAACGACCAGATAAATTATCCAAACAGGGAGTGTTTCGATGATTATCGCTCAGTAACTTACGGACCAATTAATTTTTCGTAGATTTGGAAATCGAGATAAGGCGAAATCGGTCGGTAATGGAAGGTATTTGCAAACGTATCGAAGGACAAACGGAAAGAAACCTGGTCAGGGTTTAATTTCGGACAGTCGGGTTAATCCCTGGGTCCCTTCGGCTAATGTACTTCGAAGATTCCGTAATGCGATGGAAGTCGCTACCCTCACGACAACCCTGGTTCTTCCTGTTTCACAATTTCTTCGATTACGCTCGGGCATACGGGCGGACACGCAGAAAACACGTGTGCGTTGTGCCGTGTCATGGTTTCACGTGTTGCTCGTTTGTTAGAATAAATTATATATCCACTGTACGACATTGATAACACATAACATCCAGGTAATAACCGTTTTAACTTCAACACACTCCGTTTCTGAACGATCAAGACCTCCGAAGGCTTTCAAAAATTTCTAATTTCGAACAATGCTCGGAATGAATCGAAATTTTAGTTGTGTATACACGTTCGAAGTGATTCGAAGTAATTATTAACCCATCACTAAGTGCTTCTAATAGGCTGAGCGAAGGCATGAAGAGCGAGAAAGAGGAAAGAAGTATCAAGGAAACACAATATCTAGCAACTTCGGTTAGATTGAATTTAACTACCAGAGCGAGGCAAGAATTAATACCTAGCTGTAATTCATAAAATAGCGAAAGAAAGCTCGAAGTAGTAGAAAACTCGAGTATTGCTCGAGTAGGTTCTGTGAGAATCTGAAGAGAGGCTCTCCTATAAAATTTTGGAAATCGTAACGGTTTAAATTGGAATAAGCGAGACCCACGAAGGACCTTCGGCCAGGTCTGATGACCTTCCGAGAAACACCGTAACGGACAATGACTACCTACCGAGTCGGAAATTCGATGGTCGATCGGTTTCCACTTTGCCCTGTAAACGCCAGCCCGTGTCTATTGGACGCTTTCGTCATTCGCAATATTTCCGCTCGACGTCCTACAGAGTACAAACTAAAAATTATAATGAAGACATCAAAATTGTCTAACTCTACTTCAACGACGTTCGATTTGAAACAAATCAAGAGAGGACCCAGTATAGTCCTGTCGACGTTTCCAAGTGAATCTACTGTCGGTAGAACGATGCAACCGATGAAGTTTCCTTCGACCGGTCGATAGCGTACTCGTCCAAAGGGAGCGAAATCGTAAATCGCAAGAGTAAATCGTACATGGTTCCTGGCGTGCAATTATCTCTCGCAGTCGGTTCGCGAGGTCACAGGGCGGACCTTAACTGCGGCTCGTCTCGCGTAGATCCATATACCCTTATAAAGGATCGCGTTTGTAAATCATAAAATTCGCAGTTTCACACGCTCTCTACTTTGGCCAGCCCCTCTCTTTCGTTTGCCCCTTGCGTCCTCCATCGATGCACAAGAAGGAAGAGGAGGAAGAAGAGGAGGAGAGCCCTCTCCCCGGGCTGCAATTACCTGCAATTTGTACTACGGCCACCATATACGCCATCTTTACTGTATTATGTGTGTTGTTGTGTGTGAGACTCGGTGAAGCACATGCAGATGCGCGCGAAACTGCGAGAGGAGCTGCAAGAACTCGAGCGATGAAGAAAAGAGTTGGGATATAGGGGGAGCGAGTGAAAGAGGGTGGATGCTGACCGCAGATATTGCTTCTCTAACTGATAAGATATGCATTATGTCATTCTAATTATGATTATTTTGTAAAAACGAGTTTCTTATCATGAATAATGATCTCTCGCTTCGTGAAAAAAGATGTCATGACGAGCTCGAGATTGCAATCATGGACAATTACCGTCAAACTTACGCCGTATCTTCATAATACGAGTATTAAGATGCGCATGAAATCGCGAAGGGAAAATAGGTGTCCGGTTGCCCATCATCAGGGCTAATAGCTCATATTAGTATCTATTTTACAAAAATATAATTTCATAACTTTTAAATTGTATTTTTTTTTTTCTTTTTTCTTACAATTTCGCTTGACTGTACGATAGGATAAAAGGGAAATTCCGCGCGACCGCATCGAAAATCTGCACCGTGTCCGCGCTCAGGTTCGTAACGCGGAGGTCGTTATCCGATAGGGTGCGCGAAAGAGAAGCTAGGCAGAAGGAGAAGAAGAAAGGAGCAGAGAGGTAGAAGTAAGATGAAGAAAGAAGGAAGGAGGTTTTGTAACGAAGAGAGGGAAGAAGAGCAACGGCAGAAGAGGGAGGTGTCGATACCGGGCGTGACCGTAGGTCTACCGCCTACCGCAGCCCTCTATGCGCAGCACCGCGACGGCGTTGGCGTGCTAGGCCTCCGCCCACTGGATACTATTTCGCCTGCCTGTTCGTCCTGTCCACCAGCGAACGTCGCCGGCCTGGTACCGAGGCGTGGAAGAGTAGAGGGGATCGCGAATGCAACCGAACATCCAAAGCGTCAGATCGCAAGCGGACGCGAGTGTGCGCGCGTCAGCTCCGTGTGTCTTTGCTTCTTTCGAAGTTTCTTTCCATTATCGCCGATCCGTTTTCGTTCGGTTTCATTCGGCTCCGTTCCGTTTCGGTCCGTCCAATCGGGGGTAGACGATCCTCGAGCGACGATGCCGAACCGAATCGGTTGCACGAGGTCGCGCGTGTAATCGGTAGCCGCTACGCCTTCGTCACGCTCGTGCATCCTCGAAAACACAGCCGATCTAACCTGGTATCCTGCTCCCGTTCCCCCTCCCTCGCCCTTACAAATACCAACAGCGAGCCTTCATCGACCCCTCTTCCTTTTTCCTACCCGTCCTTCCTTCCTTCCTTCCTTCCTTCCTTCCGTCCTGAAGTGTCAGTCCCTTTTCGTGTCGCGGTGTGCGCGCATTACCATCGTACCGTGCACGACACTGGCTAGCCACGTATACGCGTACGCGTGCGCCGCGTCGTCCGCTCGTAAACTTTCCGCGTTTTTTCTCCTCTGTGCTGTTGAGTGCCAGTCTACCGCGACCACCACCTACCGAGACACGTTGGTGATAAAAAAAACACGCGTCCATGTCAATCATCGAGGATCCGCGTGTGCTCCTTGTACCTTGGTGACAGCACGACGCCGACAACGACGACGGTGATAATTTAAACTGAGGTGCTGTCTGTGTGTCACTGGTTGCTGCTGCAAACTGGTTACTGTTTATGTTTCGGTGGACAAAGGATTTAAACCAAAGACATGGACACGTATTCGCGTGGCCGAGGTAACAGTGATTCTACACGGTGTCGATGATCCCCATCCCGATTCAGATCCCTATTGACCGGTAATCGTGCGGCACGACCGACGGAGTTGATTTTAATACGTCACGTGCAATTCACGCCGCTCCGACATCGACGCTGCCGCGTCGAGAGAAACGTGTAACGTGTCGCGCACGCGGCAATTTGCTACTCAAGTTACGTTTTTTCAATTGTCAACGCGAGATTGGCGAGAAGCCGTCGTCGTGACGCGAAACGACGTGGTACTGTGGTAAACGCCGAGAGCCGTGCGTCCCGCTCTCTTCGCGTCGCGCTCGTATTTTGGCAGCGTGTTTAGCTGCGGGGGTGTCTCTCGTGTTGTGGGCGACCGCACTGCGGTAAAACAGCCAAAATTCGGGTGAAGAACAGAGAACCGTTACCATCCTACGCGATGGAGATGAGCGACGAGTACCAAGATATGGGAAATCCTGGAGGAGGGGTCACGGTGGCCAACATACCCATGGCTCATCATCAGCACACACCTGACAGCCCATTGGTGAGTGTTCTTTTATTCGATGATACCTGCGTAATTCGCTTCGTCTTTGTATTTTTCAAAACATGTTTTCGCGCTAACACAAATGTACACAAAATGAAGGCTCTTTTTAATCTGTAAACTTTGGTCGTTAATTCGAACAGAGCACAATATCGCGTGTGGTTAACCTGGTGAAATATTACTAGACACGTGCTTTTTTTTATCGTTGGCTGATTTTATCGATCAATAACCGTCGATCTAATAATATGAGATTTTTTAATAAGACCTTTAGACGACAAATATTTGACACTTGAAAAACGTAATGATATTATTTTAAAACTATAAATACGTGTAGAGAAAATAATAATTAGCATGTTTGTAATTGAAAATATAAAATACAAAATAATATTATAGCCTGGCAGAAGGACAAACGTAGTTTACAAACAATTCCAGTCTAGATGGTTACATTTTTTCTCTCCTTTTTTACATAAATATCTGAGCCATAAGTTTGATGCACGTGCCTAGCGTTCTTGATATAAAAGTCACGTTCTTGGCTTGTTTATAACCGCGATCGTCCTAGAAACGTCGATGAATTTAACGGTTCGTAAATAGTTCGTCTAATCGTTCGAACATGTTCCCGAGAGAAACTATAAAAATAGAGCAGGCGAACAGTGGGTCGGCCGAAATAATTTCTCGATGATCTATAATGCAGAAATTGTGCAAATTGACACGTGAACATAGGCCATTTGCAATCGCATTTCTTTAGTGTAATTACCTATAACAACCACTGACAAGCGGAAATAATTACGAGAACATAACTTTATTGTTAAGTTCAAGGTTTGAAAGTTTTACGTAAAGACGAACCGTATTACCGTCGAAATTCAACTGACGCTTTCGAACTTCGCATAATTAATATTATCTCGTGACGTCATTTAAATTCCTAAGTTACATCGTGACTAATACAATAGTAATAAACAGAAAACGTTCTGGTACCCTAGTCAACTTCGATTTTCCGGTCGACCAGTGACGTGTCATCTTCAGAACCTGTGGAATATCCAACTATTTACACTGGCTATTGTAAGACTAAATTTCCCTAGTTTTATAAACTTTGATCCCTATCGTTCGAATAATGGGCGAATCGCAATTGTGTCGTTTATTTTTCGCGATGAGGCAGCCTCGTGCACGCTTTGAAATTTTCATTGACTCACGTCTTCCTCGCGACCTCGATGACATCGCGATAGGAATCGTTCGGTAGGAGATCCAGGAAAAACGCCTTTCCGTACGTGTTCCTTTCAAAAATAAACTATTCCTCCGTCCAAGGATAAAGGGTTGTGCGGTGCAAATTCGCAAACCCTTTTCCATAACGAAACGGTTAACGATTGGTATTGTAATAGTGCCAATCAACGCGTTAACGAGCGTTTCGTTCATAGAAGGTCTTTATGTATGAAACGACGGTAGACAGGGATGCAACGCGTTACCGGTTGTGTCGTTGTGCCGCGAGAGAGGTGTAAACACGGCTCCGGAGCCGTGTGAATCGCCACTCTCTAATGCATTCAAGTATTTGCACGCGTGAGGGTTGTACTGTCGCGAAATGAAAGGCAGTGACACGTGTGCGTGTGAGCGGATAAAAGCGAGCCAGACGAGAGAAAGGTGTGTATGTACGAAAACGGTGAAAGAAAGGGAGCTCGATGAACGAGCAAAGATAGAGTGATACTGGAAATGAGAGAAAGAGAGAGGGTTAAGGTAGGATAGAGAGGGGGGTTAACAGAGTGGTAGATCGGGCAAACGGTGTGCAGAAGAGCGAGGCGGAAGGGCGGGGATTCACCTTTCGGCCAATCGGATCGAGTTGCGAGTGCGGCGAACCTCGCTGTTTCACCTGCAGACGCCATGTCGTGACGTCATGTCTCTCTCTCGTTACCACGGAACCAGGTAAACCATGTGCGATCATACCAATGTCGTGATACTCCTGTCACTGCTACCCTTCTACAAGGGTATTTCAAGATTTCTCCTTGTTTATTCGAACAAAGGTGTTTATTCAATTTCGAAACTAATTGTAAGCTAGGAAACCTTTAAACAAGCTCACGATTCAAGTGCAGTAGACTTGAATCACACTCTAATTAGATTTCATTATAATTTGCGTAGCGGAGACTCGTAAAAGACAATTTTCTTTGTTTGTTTCAACATTGCAACAGAATAATCGGAAAATCATAAGGCACCGGGGTTTAACATGTCCGTCTAATTATATTGAATAGAGGGTTTGATTAGGTACCGGAGTTAGCTGGTGAACGTTCTTGTCAGTGTTCCTTTTTAGAAGAGGCGGTCTGCGCTATCCCTATTATCTTTCCGGGCCACGATTCCTATCCGTCTCTCGAAGAGTTGCCAACTATTATTCGGCCGTTTTACGATAGCCCTATAAAAATCTCATAATTAGATTTTGAAGGTAATATCCTGGCGGAGGTCGGCACTCAGACGCCTGGCCCGTAGGAAGGGTCAGGTTAAAATTGCAAACACTAATCTCTCCCTTTATTCTTTTTTTTTTATCTTGTAAAGCAGACTCGAGTGAAGGACAAACGATTTCAAGACTCCGTTATTCGTCGATATTCTTATCGTTTAATGTTTGTATTCACGATCGCACGGAAATTAAAAAAACAATTTAACGGGCGCACTTTGCAATGCACGAATTGAAAAGATATTCCAATGCTCATTACGATAAGGTAATAATAGTGTGGAGGACCGTTTAATCTTTCCAGGGATATCCATTTCTGTTTTTTTTAATGTATACGCAACGAAAGGGGTTAGAGGAGTGGACGCGATGGCGTCGAAACGCGTCGTCAGGGAGGCGATCCGCGGGAACGCGCATGCATTCCTCGTTGCAGCTTCAATGCGCGTGATCGCGATCCAACGCAACGAGCCTCGAGCATTCAAGGATCTCGATGGTGGGGAATCACCGTGGTCACTGTAGCCGGAAGGTGGGAGAAAGAGTGAATGAAATAAAGAAGAAAAAAAAAATAAGAATGCGCCAGGACCAAGCTGATTCGCGATTGGTCCACGCTCGTGTCGCGGTCACGCCTGCCTTTTTATTTATGCGCCGCTCGGACTCGCTCGGCTATCCTCGCCTCCGTCCCGGTTACTTCGATTTTCATTTAAATTCTCATTTCGATTTTCTTGCTTTCTCGTGGAAAATCCAATGACAGTTACAACTTCTACTCGTCACTTGGTGTTGAAATTACTTATTTTTTAAATTAGAGGTTACAATTGAGCGCAGTAACGATATTTGACACGTGTCCTCATTTAATAGTTAATAATTATCGGTCACTTCTGTTTTATGTTGACGTGTTTAGTGTATATATATATATATATATGATCTTTTTAATCACGTTCATTAAGCGATTATCCTAGGTCGTGCGTAATTATTTGTTACTCGTGGTGATATCGACAAAAAAGACATATTTTTTATTAGCATACGAAATAAATAGGTATGCACGGTAACAACGATAGCGCCTAACGTTCGATAATTACTTAACATTGACCGTGAAAGCAAATTGTTATCAGGAACCTTACAGAGGGTAAAGTGTGCAATTTATCGAAATGAAAATTCTAACCGAACGTCATGCTCGACCGATGGAATAGTTGCATCCGCATATTCTTGATAGCAGGTTGGTTAGCAGCATCCTCTCGGATATCTTGCGTTCCACGAATGCAACTATCAATTACACGGTGTCTTGATGAGTTCTTTAACCAGCTACCTCGTCCGTAGAAGCTTCACTTCGCTCGCCTTCGAAGCTTCAGCTTCATCCTCGCATTTTCCTATCCGTCGAATTACGAGCGAACAAAAGAAATAAACTTCTGATAGCCTAGCTTTCGTTCCAACTTGACAAGAGGCTCTATGTGCTTCATAAATTATCCTAGTAAAACGCCTACGGACACTGAATATTCCTATTAACTTTTTGGTCATTGCTCGCTTGCTCACTCGCTCGTACGACGTCGATTATCCTTTGAAATTGGCTTCAACGAAATGGAGTCGGTAACGAGAGTGGTGGATGAAAAATTCATCGATAGTTGAATGATTAATTTTCTCGACAAATACGCCAGCTTGTTTTTTCGTTGGCGCAAGGTGCACCTGCTGTAGCGGGAGCTGAGGGAGAACAGCGTGTAAAAGATGTCGGATCAGATTTTGGAAAGGAACGGCTACCGTGTCGCTGCTTGGTTTGGTTTGTTTGTTGTCCTGGATGAGTCAAGTGGGACTTTCTAAGGTTAGCACCCAATTGGCTATCACACCCCATTCGAAGCTGGAAGGGAAAAAGGTACGAGCGAGACCATTAGGCAAAGACTTATAAGGTGGCTACTGCCACCAAGGTGGTCGTGGGCTCCTCTTAGCTGGAAAAGACCCCATGCAGGTAATGGGCCCTGGCACGAGCCTACCGATATTCTTCCCTTCTGTCGAGACGCCACGCCGGTCTATACTGGCCGTAAACGCGCCGCATCTACGGTTAAGCCGATTTCACGCGTGACGAGTTTTCGCAAAACTGCCGTTTCTCGCAACGACGCGTCTCTCTTTTTGCTTCCTCTCTCTGTATATCGCTAACCCGAGACAGAAACTAGTGGAAAAACACACCAATTTTGAATTGATGCCAATCGAATTTACTTTGATTCGGGGGTATTCATCTTCGACGTCGATTGCCGGCAAGTTGGAAAAAAGGGAAATCGTTGGTGCACGTATTTTTGGGTATGGCCCTCCACTCTCCTCCGTTGGGATATGTAATTTGAGCCACCTCGTGTATCTCGCGCTCGCGCGGTCCTAAGTAAACTACGGCTCGAGATGGACTCCTCTCGCGGATGCTCCGACATGCTCGACGTGGACGAAAGGTACGCGCGGATGAAAAAGGCGAAACGGGTTTCTCCGTGGAACTCGTGCAAACATCGAGAGCCAGAGACGCGCCACGACCGACCACGAACCCTCTTGTTGACTCTTCAACTTTACTCCGCGCCTTTTGGCTCTCTCTTGCTCCGATGGCGCTCCACGT